TTTAAGTGAAATTTTTCAATAAAATCTCACTAGCTGTTTCAAAAGTTATTGAGTGTGGCAAGTCTCTCTTTAATCCTTTTTATTGCTGTATTTTTTTAATAGTCTCATAAAGAGCTTGAAAGTCGAATGAGGTTTTTGGCTTATCAGTTTTTGACGATCCCGTTTACCCTACTTAGAATCCTTCTGTAATTCATGTGCCAACCAGAGATAGATTGGCTGCATGTGACACGAAGAAAGTTGTGATGACCTTTTGTGAAAAAGAAATATCGCTAAACTAGTGTTCCAGCTACTTTTCCCCCATTTGTCCCCCATTTGTAACAACTGCTCTCCAATTAGCTAGAAAGTTACTTGTTTCTAACCAAGCCAAGCTAGTTTGTTTATCAAACTTCTAATTCAGGTCTTCTAGAACAAAGAGCATTTTTGCCGGGCCAATCATAGTTACTCAAGGTCGGGGCAGCTGCACGTTGGGTTACGTGAAGCGTGGCGTCTTCCGATCTTTCCTCAGTAGGGGGGCCGCTAGCTTGTTTATCAAACTTCAGGCCTTCGAGAACCAAAGAAGGTTTTGGTTGTCGTTGATCGACTTAAGCCTATGCGACTGGACCGAAAGCGAATATGGGTAAAAATCACTGTAGCGGTTAAATATTTCTGAATTAATTGTCCCACTAGTAGTAAAGATAATATTGGCGAGAAACGATTCATCAAATGCATGTCTTTGGGTTAAGGGAAAGAAAAACAAAGTAGTCACGATTCAGTTCACGATTCCGAAAATATGAAGGCATTAAAAAAACGTCTCCTTCAACATTTCCCGCACGCCTACGACGATTCGTGCTGTAAACCAGGCATAACTAGTCAGATAAAATTATGGAAAATTATGGAGTCAACAAGGGCGAATCCAGGGGGGCAAAGGGGGGCTAAAGCCCCCCCCCCCCTTCAGCAGAAAAAAAGCGATGCTTTTTTATATTGTTTTCCGTTGTGTTGACGGAAGAAACTCAACTAGCCCCCCCACCCCCTAARCTCACTTAGCCCTCCCCTAAAATTTTGGCTAGATCCGCCCTTCGTCAACTCGGATTCAATGATTGCTACCCAGAGTTCCTTTCGATCCAGTCGCGTAGGCTTGAGATGGTCGACAACAACGTTTCTTGTATTGACTGTATTATGACGGTAATGACGGCTTGCCTTCTTGGTTTGGAAAGGAGTCCTAACAGGAAGTGCATTATGCAAATCCGAGTTTACAACGGAAAAAAAATTAACGAGCGAGAGTTGGAGCAGGTCTAGCCGTGCTCTGACTTACATTAGCTGTAGCTCAGAGGTTGTTTACAGTCAAACAACCTCAAGCGTGAACACGTAGAGGTCATTAATGACTTTATATTTGGATTCTTGATTTCATTATTCGATTTGAATATTCATTATTGAAAACGAATCTTCAAAGCCTGGCACATACAAAAGCCAAGCATATATGCAACTGAAATGCAAAAACAACTTTTTGTGCAAGGAATATGTAATATTAATGACTTACCTTCTGTTTGCGCTATAAACAAGAGCCTACAAACCAAGTGAATCGAATTTTCAAATTATTATTATTTTTTGAATATTGAAGATTCGTTTTCATTAATGAATGTTCGAATCGAATAATGAAATCAAGAATCCAAAAATAAAGTCATTAATGAACTCTACGTGTTTACGCTTGAGGTGGTTTGACTGTAAGGTTTCGGATAAACTTGTTAATCTTCAGTTTGAAATTGAAAGAATTGTAAGTTGTATATATTGAACGGAATGCAAAATAAATTTATCTTTAGTTCAGTTGAGGAGCAATTGGACAGCTCTCTTTCGGTATCTGAAGCTATTCTTCCTGGTCTTGATACTCAAKGTCACCACACAAATCTAATAAAAAATTCATCCTTCTTATTGGTTAATCAGAGGGTTACGTCATCACTACGTCACTGTTCAGTTAGGCCGTTTTTGACATTATATTGTGAGATATTGCTAAATCAAGTGTTTTCATCTTTGTACATCTGCGAGTTATAAGCTTTTCGTTGCGAGTTTGGAACAAGAACGACTTAAAACRAAGAGATGAAGTTTGTTTTGGGAATACCTTGCATTTTGTTGGCTACTCTTCCACAAGGTAACTAACATCTATTAATATCTATTATTTATTTTTAAGCTTCGATCATTGGGCAGAGACCAATAGCTCACAAAGCAATCCTCCCTCACGAGGCACGAAAAAAAAATCGATTAAAAATGTCAAAGAAATGAAAAAAATATTTGCAGGATAAACGTAACTATGGATTTTGGGTTCATTATATCTATCAACTATGCAAGATTTGTCAAAAATTATTATAAAATAGCTGTTATGAATGTCGCGTTCTGATTGGTTTGGAGCGCGTGCTTTATGAGAGCACATTGCACGCGCGCGCACTTTCCGTTGCGTCATTCCTATCTATTATTGTAATTTGTATTTTATAAAAGTAATAAAAAACTTGCTTGCTGTACTGTGTGGAGTCAWAAAGCACTTGGGGATTGGCAGAACACTCGAGAAGTGTCCAGAGAAGTCTCCTATCACGTCTCTCGAGTTCTGCCAACCCCGCGTGCTTTATGACAGCACACAGCACGTGCGCGCATTTTCTATTTCTCTATGATGTCAAAATCACCGTACGACGTCATCAATATTAGTTTCAGGTTATACGAACCTTATAACCTCCTAAGTGTGCTTTCAAATTAAAATTTTTAACGACTTAAATTAATTTTTTTTATCTAAAAATTTTAAAATTATTTTTTTCCTATTCATATTCTCTAGTCGTTTCCTTGAAGTGCTTTGTTGGTATCAATAGCAATTACAAAGAGGAAACCTGCCCTTCTGGACTCGACACGTGTTCGCTTCTTGAAAAAAAGCCATTGACAGCACGTGCCTGTATGATGAAAGACACATGTGACCAGGTTATCAACCAGTGCAAAGCTACAGGTCTATGCCAGATGAAATGCTGTCAGACGGACCTGTGTAATAAAAGTTACACAATCCATCAACCATTTTGGCACTTCCTGCTGAAGTATGGATACGTGTTACAGAAGAAATAGACTACGAACTTAAGGGGGGAGGGGAGTTGGATAACGATATGGTCACGTGGCCTAATGTTACGAAGCAGGAGGACAGATTCATCTGAATATGTAAACAGCGTAAACGGGCTTAGATAGCCAATCCTGTAGAAAGTTTTATTATTAGATCTTTATGATTTTTAGCATACAAGAAAGACGACCTATTGTTATATATATGTTTTTTTCTATTTGTCTCAACATGCAAATGTTTCATACATTCCATCTGTTGACCAGCGGTATTTCTTGATACAGCGCATGCGCGACTGTTGTTATTTCCATCGTCTTGCTATCGAGAACTTTCTCATATTTACAACAACAAAAAAAAGATAAAGATAAAAAGCTAAACGAAGCTAAAAGAAAAGCGGGTAAAGCATGTAAACGAAAAAAAACAAGAGGGCACATACCAATGTGTCATTTTCCTACGACGCAAACTGACAAAGCATTTAAGTTTTTTCGTGTTTTTTGCATGGCTTTCGCCCAACAGGGTATCGAATACAGGCTGAGTTTGTTATATAACTGACGCAACTCAATCGTCTTACAGAATCTATGGTGACGCAATATAAACTGCGAGTTCTTCCTATGGCCTCCTACGGCCTCTTAAGTCTCCTTTGTGTTAAATACTGCTTGAAATACTAGTGATTAGCATCTTTGAATATGAAATTTAAATTTTGCGTGATTAGTTGAAAGTCACGAAACCTCGTCGCCTTCAACTAGTCACGCAAAGTTTCCCGCGCTGTCTGGAATTTTAACGTGCCTCCACCTCACATGTTTCAAAATCCGCGCGACAATATATGAAATCAGTCACAGAAAAAAGCTTTCTAACTACTTTAAGAAAAGACAAGAGAGCATAAATATCAATAAACATCTATGCATTAATAAATATTAATAAATATTACTAAACATTAATGCTCTCTTGGAAAAAAATTATAACGCGAAATTATTTTTGCCTATTGCTGCCTAATGTTGACAGTTGATCTATCCACTTTGACTGGAACTTTTTGTGTTCCATTAGGAGTTCTTTTCGTTTCTTTTCCATCGCGGTTAATTCTTGGTTGCCGTCGATCAGCTTGTCTTCAGAGAGGACGGCTTTGCGCATACAACCAAATCTCTCAGCGAAGACTCTGTGGAATGCTGGTATATCACAGGAGTGAATAAGAGAGTAAAATTAGAGTGTCGAAGGATTGCTCGTAGCAACATTTGAGATTTTTGATTTTCCTTGTCTCTGTCTGTCTGTCTGTCTGTCCGTCCGTCTGTCTGTCTGTCTGTCTGTCTCAGTAGTTGTTATTTTGTTTGTTAACTTGTATTTTTATATCTGCTCATTAGTTTGCACGCTTCCTTCCTCGCTTCCTTCCTTCTTTGCTTACTTGTTTGTTTATTTGCCTGCTTGCCTGCTTGCCTGCTTGCCTGCTTGCCAGCATGCCTGCTCTTTCGTCTGCTTGTCTGCATGCTTCCTTCCTTGTTTGCCTACTTGTTTGCTAGCTTGTTTTGTCTTTGTTCATGTGATCAATCTTTGCTTTTGTTCTTTCGTTTTTCATTTACCTGACTTATGCCGTCTGTATCCAAAATCCCATATCAGACCAAAAGCAACCAGAGAACCGACAGCAACGCCACAAAATTTAATGACTTTTTGAAAAAATTTTTCCTGGTAAAAAAGCTGTCCTGCTGCTTCGACGCTGTAATCGGAGCGACCACCCTTGCCCTGTGCATTAGATAAGAGATCTAAAATCAATATGAAAATTGCTTGCTTTGGGGACCCTGCGTTTCCATCGTAAACGCAACCCACTTAACCACACGTTTGATTTTAAGTCGGGAAACTAGGTCCGGTTAAAGCTAGATGATTATGTTTTCAAGATAATTGCTTTTTAATGATTTCATATTAAAAGATATAATGTCAAACTTGTCTGTTCGGCTTTGCGTTTACCACCACAATTGCGCATGCGCAGTTTGGATGACTTTTCTCTGCCAAAATGATCTGTTAGAAAGCTCAGAATTTTTATGATGCGATTAATTAAGGACCATACTTCCAGACATCGAGTGCTGAACCGTCGTATGGCAGCGCGAAGCATTTACGGCTGCGCCGGAGATTTCGACCCCGACACCGCTATCCCTGGATTTACAGACTGATCAGGAAGCTCGGCCGAAGCCTAAGGGAGAGGTTAGTCGGCCCCTAGACCGTAGATGATTAACCCCTTGCTATGACCAGCATACCCGATGAGACGCTTGAGACTCTGATCACTTAGCACTCGTAAGTGCTCGTTTCCATGTGGGATGCGTTTTCAAGAAAATAGTGGTGAAGTATTTTGCACGAAAACTTCGATAAAAACAAAAGTTACGGTCTCAAAACATGCAATGTAAAGTCTAGATTATTTTATGATATTACTGCTGACTTATAGGCACTGCGGTCGTAAAGAAATAAGTAGATACCGCTGACTTATAGGCACTGCAGTCGCAAAGAATGAGTAATAATACTGATAATAATAATAATAATAATAATAATAATAATAATGATAATAATAATGATGATGATGGTGGTGATGATGATGGTGATGGCGGTGGAGGTGGTGGTGGTGGTGGTAAAGAAATAGATAACTAGCTAAAAACTAGTGTAAAGAAATAGATAGTTACCAGTCGGCCCTTACCGGTTCTAAAGGTTTTAAATGTTTAGCGATGATCGTAAAGATGTCTTGACGATAGTTCTTCATGTACCTACGTACACATGTTTCGGCTTTATTGGAGTCAGATGGTAAAACCATGCCGTAGTTGATTCGATGTTCAATCGTCGATTCTAATCGGATGTTTTTCTCTTGCGCGAAATCGTTGGAGAATCTTGTTAAGGCGTAGTTATCGATCAACAACCCGTCGATCTCGTGCTTTTTTAGGGCTTTTGTCATCGTTGAGGGGTTATTGAACGCTATTTAGAAAAATAATAATAATTTCTTTTTAAAATTTTCGTCGTCCTTGAAAAGCTATTCATAATTAATATTTACAAGAAAACTTTGGCTAGAAATGAATAAAAATGTCTTTCAAAAAGTTATGCAGTTGGGATAATATTTAGAAAGGAAGAAAAACCAGGAAAGAGCAGTATACAAAATGTGATTGAATGGCGGGTTTGTTGCGCATGTGTTGTCGACTTTTCTTGAATTTTGTGACGTCATAGCTGACATGTTTGCTATATTATCAACCAATATGGCTGACATATCTGTTGGTTCTGTTATTTACTCTCTGTTATTTACCTATCATATCAGCATTCATTGTTACTCCAAGCCTGAACTCCTCGCTTCCATTCACGGCTCCAATCTATAATAAGATTTTCGTTCTCATTGTCAGAGTTTCGGTATTTCATTCCTAGTGGGCTACCTGTGTCCACACTGGAGGGATCTCGGGCCAAGAGTCGCCCGCGAATGTTTTAGCTTGCAGTTGTGTGGCGGTAGCCTGGAGGCACGCGGATGAATATGGGTTAAAGGACTGGTCAGAGAGAAACTCATCTCTCCTCAGTCTCTCTCTTAATTAGCTAGAGACAGGAAGACCAGAGTAGTCCGGTGAGATAGCGGTAAGAATTCTTTATAATACAAAGTTTTCAAAACTCAAGATTTTAAAAATTTTAAATTAAAAAAAATGAAATTCTAAACATTCAGAATTATGGAAATTATCATAACTATCAAAATTCAAAATTCAAATACTTTTGCTCCAATAGCGTTGAAGTAAGGGCGAGTATTGGCGGTTACTGTCGCTGTAATGAGAGCTGTAAAACTGGCCACGATGTTGATGCCAACGATAATCCAAAGAAAGCAGAAGATTCGACCGGGCAGAGTCTTGGGAGACTTGTCACCATATCTGAACCAAAACAAAACATATTAGGGGGATTCTATGGCAGACATATTGGAGGACAGAAACAACCATACAAAACATATTAGGGGGATTCTATGGCAGACATATTGGAGGACAGAAACAACCATACAAAACATATTAGGGGMATTCTATGGCAGACATATTGGAGGACAGAAACAACCATACAAAACATATGAGGGGGATTCCATGGCAGACATCTTGGAGGACAGATATAACCAACTCCCGGCCCGCTTTATAACTGCACACGCATGCGTTTTCTGTTTCTTCATTATTATTCTTTTTTTACAATGTCTCACTACAGTAATATAGTAAAACAGTAAATGTGCAAATATTTTTGTATGACAAGAGACTTTCGTTTCCCAAAAAAGAAAAACTATATTGTTGTGTACTACATGGACCCCATTAACCTTCCTATAAACATTTATCTTATAATATTATGATAATATTTATCAACTTGTAAAGCGCCAATATCAATATACATTTTCATTGGCGGTATCTTGAGGTAACTCTAGTCTGATGTGGTAATGAAAATGAGAGAGGATCGTACCCTACTGTTGTCATGGTAACGACAGCCCACCAGAATCCATCCCAAGCTCCTTTAATAAAGCATTTGGTGAATTCTTTTGAGTTCGCGAGTTTTTCCTAAATCAGAACAAACAGGTATGTTAAGTGTATAAGATAATGATAATTATCAAGATAATGAACCAGGATGAGATGACTTTACTGCTTATTTTTCGAATGAAATCTCCAATCAACAGAACCCCAAAGAGAAATTATTTACACTTCCGGTTGACTTCATCGTCCTCCTGATTTTGCAAATCTTAATCTCTATCTTCACCAGCCTACGATCGAGTATATATAACGAATAAGCTAGCCTGCAAATCGTTCCCGCGAGCAAATTGGGACCTAGTTTTTTTATTTTTTTGCTCGGTTTCAGTTCTCGCTCGTTCCAAATTTCCAAAGTTCCCCCGAAAAACCACGGTTTTCGCCCAAATGTCGCCCAAACCCACAAGAACCCCTACAAATAACCCATAATACTCACTAGTATCCAGACCAGCAGCCCGGCTGCCAAAGCCGCGCCAAGAATAAATAGTAAAAATGGCCAGGCATAGAAAATGGTGTCAATCAAAAGCGTTGTCTTGGAGATTTTGACGTCATCATAAACGACAAGCACGACGCGAGGGGCATGGATCACAGGAATGAAAGGTTGATCCTTGTATGTCTTACTGCTCCAGCTGAGGTAAAAAGAAAACATGAAAATTTATCACATTTGCCCTCCAACATGGCTACAAAATGATCCGTGTGTCCTCCAATATGGCTACGAATTGATTACATTTGTCTACGACAAATGGCTACAAAACTATCGCATTTGTCCTCCAACATGGCTACAAAATTATCACATTTGTCCTTCAAAAGGACCACTTCGTCCTTTAACATGGGTACATTCATAACGAATATTTTCCCTCAGGAAATACATCCTATTCTTCTTCTTCTTCTACTCACCGTTGTACGTAAATAGGATAAGTAAAGTCGTACATGTTCTTTGACAGGTGTTCCTCTGCTTGGCGCACTGATCGAAGCAGCTTACCGTAAACTATCTTACTTTTGGGGCAACAATGACTCACTATTTGATTCAAAACGCCTGAAACATGAATGATAAGCAAAGAAAATTGTAAGACAACAGTACAATGCAGGGCCAAAGCCGCCTGGAGAGCGCTATCCGGCGGATAAATACTAATCCAGTGGATAAGTTGATGCTGTTATCCAATAAATTTATCCACTGGATAAGGATTCATCCGTCGGATAGCGTGACCCAGGCTTCGTACAACCGGGCCCAGTAAGGTTGGTCTGGTTTTTATCGCATCACGTTACCTTCAAAACCATTTTTTCCCCTCGTGAAAAAAATATTTATTAAAATACCACCTTTAAAAAAATAAGCGCTCACTAAGCAAATGTATAAAATAACTGTTATGAATGTCGCGTTCTGATTGGTTTAGAGCGCGTGCTTTATGAGAGCACATTGCACGCGCTCGCACTTTCCGTTGCGTCATTCCTATCTATTATTGTAATTTGTATTTTATAAAAGAAATAAAAAACTTGCTTGCTGTGCTGTGTGCAGTCAAAAAGCACTTGGGGATTGGCAGTACACTCGAAAAGTGCCGGTCCAGAAGCACTCCGCTACGCGTCGTTCTTCTCCTAACACGTCTCTCGAGTTCTGCCAACCCCGCGTGCTTTATGACAGCACACAAAACGTGCGTGCGTTTTCTATTTCTTTAGTAGCTACTGCACGCTTAGTTCAAGGTTTTCCAGGAAGGAACCCCAAGAATCAAGTCCAGTAATTATCAAACCCAGACCCTAAAGGTGAGAGGCAAATGTACTGATTCCCGTACATAAAGAAAAGGCAAAGTATATGTAACATTACCTGGGAAGATTCCAAAAGCAACAAACCCGAACGTTTTGTTGATTCGTTTCGGCCCAATGACTCCTGAATATGGTTGATTCGGTAACCAGGCCATTGACAAGGGTAGGCCTTTCTCGCAACGCTGGTCGAACGTCAGAGACTTGGTTAAGTTTAGGAATTTACCATTTATTTTATTAAACCTAGGGATTTCTGTAAGAAAATGACAGGGTGAAGTATACTTATTAATCACTATTTTAGAATTGTATCCGCCTATTTCAACCATTTATCCATCGATATCCATACACTTATCATTCACTTATCCATCCATCCATCCATCCAT